CAATTTCTCGCAATGAAGCATCATCAAAATTTCTGTTACTGCCTAAATAGATCTGACATTTGTTGCATAGAGCCTAGATATGACTCTATCGGGGATGATGTACTCCACATTTACCATGGTAATATCACCCGGAATGTACAGTCTGTTAGCTTTATCATTTAATACACAATGCAGCAAACATGATAAGGACTTTTTTTCGCCATTCCGATAATAGCGAAACGTCAGTGTCCTTATCAGCCCCCGAATTAATCTGCTTTATCAGTACAGTGACACACACCAGGACCAATCATGACCTTATAATGACAAGAATTTTATGACAGGTCGGTTGGTATTAAGCCATATACATGTATACATGCACACCAGGATTACAGACGGAGTTTATATACACCAGGGTTACAGTCTAGGTTGATATACACCAGGGTTACAGTCTAGGTTGATGTACACCAGGGTTACCGTCTAGGTTGATATACACCAGGGTTACAGTCTAGGTTGATATACACCAGGGTTACAGTCTAGGTTGATATACACCAGGGTTACAGTCTAGGTTGATATACACTATGGTTACAGTCTAGGTTGATATACACCATGCGTGGTTACAGTCAGTCGAGGTTGATATACACCAGGGTTACAGTCTAGGTTGATATACACAAGGGTTACAGTCGAGGTTGATATACACCAGGGTTACAGTCTAGGTTGATATACACCAGGGTTACAGTCGAGGTTGTTATACACCATGGTTACGGTCTAGGTTGATATACACCAGGGTTACAGTCTAGGTTGATATACACCAGGGTTACAGACTAGGTTGATATACACCAGGGTTACAGTCTAGGTTGTTATACACCAGGGTTACAGTCTAGGTTGATATACACCAGGGTTACAGTCTAGGTTGATATACACCAGGGTTACAGACTAGGTTGATATACACCAGGGTTACAGTCTAGGTTGATATACACCATGCGTGGTTACAGTCGAGGTTGATATACACCAGGGTTACAGTCGAGGTTGTTATACACCAGGGTTACAGTCGAGGTTGATATACACCAGGGTTACAGTCGAGGTTGTTATACACCATGGTTACGGTCTAGGTTGATATACACCAGGGTTACAGTCTAGGTTGATATACACCAGGGTTACAGACTAGGTTGATATACACCAGGGTTACAGTCTAGATTGATATACACCATGGTTACGGTCTAGGTTGATATACACCATGCGTGGTTACAGTTGAGGTTGATATACACCATGTGGGGTCACAGTCGAGGTTGATGTTCATCTGTCAGACGTGTATTATATGACGATACAGCCATGATTGATACACACGTAAATCACCAGCGGTCCCAAATGAGTGTACACTGATCAATATCGCCGGCAGGTGAAACAAAGAAAGGTCAATCGGTGCAAACTGATATCATGTCGGGGTCGAACCTGTGTCAGCACCCAGGATGGCTCAACGCATTACCATCAGCACGATATCATCTCCGTGCATCTATACCTGACTTTATGTCTCCGTGTATAACGGTACATGTAATTGCTGACATATGAACTCACGAATATATCTTCTCAATCTTCAATCACACATCTGTCGATTCTCGATTACTGAATATGTCGTTTATTTTATGGCAGTGTGTGTATTCGTGAGTCCTGAAGAAGAATCAGTGAATGGTGGGTGTTTAACGTCGATATGTCATATTCGTTCAATCTATACCCGGAACCTGGTCGTTGCCCTTTACCGTTGATGAATATTCACGTTCCGTCCTGACCCATTTTAAACTGGCTCTGTGCATGACTGGGCCTGTGTGAATGAGTCTGTACTACCCTCGCTTCCAGTAACATTAGTATAGATGTATGAATAGGATCTGAATATTTTACAGATCAGTTTGTTTGAAACGATTTCCTTGTCGTTTTCCACATCTGTAAAAACTGCACCCAGGGTAACCTAATACTGTGTATAATTATATGTGGTTGCTTTATTTATCGATTATTTCCATTAATTATTTGTAGTGTATGTATTATAGAATGGTTCTATGGCGGAATATATGTACATACGCAGGACTAACAGATGCAGCGGCAGGGTGGGATTTGTGATACACTGAGAACACTAGTCTGGGTATGACGGGGACACCAGACTTCACGTCCACATAGTAGCCGTAGCAGTAGCAGTAACAACAATAGTAGTATTGGCGGTGGTGGTGGTAGTAGTAGTAGTAGTAGGAGTAGCAGCAGCAGCAACAACAGTAGTAGTAGTAGTAACAACAATAGTAGTAGTGGCGGTGGTGGTGGTGGTAGTAGTAGTGGTAATAGCAGCAGCAGCAGCAGTAGTAGTAGTAGTAACAACGATAGTAGTGGTGGTGGTAGTAGTAGTAGTAGTAGTAGCAGCAACAACAGTAGTAGTAGCAGCATCAGTAGTAGTAGTAGTAGTAGTAGTAGTAGTAGTAGCAGTCAGTAGTAGTAGTAGTAGTAGTAGTAGTAGTAGTAGTATTTGGGTGGTGGTGTGGTAGTAGTAGTAGCAGCAGCAGTAGCAGTAGTAGTAGTAGTAGTAGCAGTAGTAGTAGTAGTAGTCAGTATTTGGTATAGTGGTGGTGTAGTAGTGGCAGTAGTAGTAGCAGCAGTAGTATTTGGGTGGTGGTGTAGTAGTAGTAGTAGTAGCAGCAGCAGTAGTAGTAGTAGTAGTAGTAGTAGTAGTAGTAGAATCAGCAGTAGTGGTATAGTAGTCACTGAGTAGTAGTACAATGTAGTAGTATTTGGGTGGTGGTGTAGTAGCGGCAGTAGTAGTAGCAACAGTAGTAGCAGTGGAGCGGTGGTGTGGCCTTGAGGTTAAAGCGTTCGCTCGGGTTCGATTCCCCTTATGGGTACAATGTGTGAAGCCCATTTCTGGTGACCCCCGCTAAAAATACTGCTAACTCACTCTCTCTACTGCATGTAGTTTATTGATGGAATATTCCATCAACATGAAAAGAGAGTTAAATTTGGTGCCTTGAGCAATCGCCTCAATTATCAACACGCCTATACGTGGCGTTGTGATATAGAACCACGTATGTGTGTGTATATCGATAGTATTGTACACAAAGCTTATATTACGTGAGATACACATCTTTCAAATGGTTGTATTATGTTCAGGGTAGCTCCAGAACAATCCCGTTCAATTTCATCAGGCAGTATGTACGTGGAGATTGTAGTGAGTGCGTGACATATAGTCACGTGCTTTCATCAACCGATCGCTGTCGTCGGTTGCTTTACGGGTGGGCGCGTCGCGGCCTGATAACGTGTGATTGTATGTCGAGAAAACTGCGCGTTGTTTGACCCGTGTTTCATATACGTACGAGGCTGCGTGTACTGTTTAACAAACTGGGTCTGTGAAATGTTGACTTGAGCGTTGATTTGATTATTCATATGAAACAATATATTCATGATATATTCATAAAAACATTATAAGCCTTTAGTTTGGGGGGTAATATGTGAGTGGATGTGGTTTTACGCCTTCTCGACAATATTCCAGCAATATCACGGCGGAGGATATCAGAAATGGGCTTCACATATTATACCCATGACGAGAGAACGCTTTAACCCATTAGTCTACCACAACGCCTCTCGTAACAATAAACTATGAATAACAGATATATGTCCATATGACGAGCAGTATAGAGGAAACACTACATCTCTATTTACCATATATTACAAACGATAAAACAAATCGTGCTGATTTGCGATCTACTCAAATGGCTATATCCGAAATTTCAAAACAACGCCGTCCAAAAGGGCTGAGGGTAATCTCCTAACCACTGTAATCCGTTGCCGTGAAATCCGTACATACTCTCAGCTCGTTGACAAAAAAACTCGGTGAACTCGGTGATAAAACAAATAAAATTAGAAAAAGGGGACTGAATGTTGATTTATTGCATATAAACACTGATTTATTACTTTGCAGAGATCGACACGAAAGCTGTCTCTTCACCTGGCTCCTTCTAATATATAATCTTAATATAAACAATAGAGAAAAACGACAATTAATTATCTGTGAAATTGGTTGTGCAGTGTTCAATACAGTCTGTTATAATATGAAATAATGACCTTTTGGTCTTTTTGAAGAGGAATGTATCAAAACAAAAAAATCAGGGGAAAAGATATTGAGATTTGGGGTTTTTGTGTGTAAACGGCTCTATAAAGGCAGACTGTGTAAACTGAATCACTTTAAATGTGAACGAAGCAGATCGAGTTGTCAAAAGTTTGACACTGGAACTCGGTCATTTGTAACTATACTCTGCACATGCAATAATATATTTTGCACTGTGATATACAAAGATCGGTCATTCATGGACTGATTCCTAGCCAGTCTAGCGCCATGTTTAGAAACCTACATAGTCACGCAACTCAAGACTTTCACAAGCAAGCAGGGTTTTTACCAATTCTGATATGCAAATATTTTCCCATAGAATATAAATGTTGTTTTTTAAACATATAGAATGCCTCGATGCGTTATACCTGATAATTATCTTCAGGAATTTCCATCTGTTACAATTTTCCAAATGAACGTGTCGTATGACATAATATGCTGGATTTATACAAATGCGCCGCTTGTTTTCACTGCAACAAGTTTTACAGGTAAGTGTTCGGACAGATGCGCTAGCTTCTTGCAGAGCTCTTTCGGCAGTCTAGCATTGATTTCACCGTGGAAAGGTTATCTAGGACCGGTGTGTGCCTTGGATCGAGAGCTTGGGACGGTGTGAGCAGCGAACACGAAAAGGTACCTCTTTTGTCCATACTTTCCGCAAGAAAATAAAAATAGCACGGAATTTGTAGTGCTATACCCATATTGACGTCATAGCAAAATCGCAACATTGCCTAACCATAGAGGCCGTTTCAGCCAATCAGAATTCACCACATTGGGTTCGCGTGTGACGTAGACCGGTATGGGCTATTCCAAGTTCCTAAGTCTAAGGGGGCCACGTGTGCAGAGCTGCGGTGCAAATATAATTAGCGAATAAGATAGAGCCTATTTCAGTCCACACTGACGTAGACACTCTTCTAGCTAAATGTCTGTTCTAATGTTAACCCGTAGCCCTTGATTCTTTTACCCAAGTGCTTTCTTAGTGTCGGTGCTGGGAGCAGAAGGCTGTCCCCCCTCGCTGTGGAACTTTCTATCTATACGGAGTTCACTGAAGACCGAACTCACAGTGTAGGGGATACTAGCTAGAAATTTTGATTTCTGGCTTGAAATTTCGCTTTTCATCATAACCATTCAAACTAGGGAACGTTGGGGATACGGGTTAAACTTTTAACCACAGCGCATGAGCCGTAGGTGACAATTTAAGAGGATACTGTAAAATCCGTGCAATGGATCTTGCACACTGCAAGCCCGTGGAAGAGGTTGCGGCGCATTTTAGCGTCGATGAAACCGTCGGCCTCCAGGACGATGCTATCAAGAAGTCATTAGAAAAGTATGGACCAAACGGTGAGTATAATACCTTTCTTAATCCAGTGATAAATAATAATTTTCAATAATTTACATCGCCATATTGTAATGTATGGCCAATGGCGTCAGTAAGCCCTTATACATCGATGAGAAGCCATGCTTTCAGTCCTCGTTATAGGGCGATTCATGTTACGTTTACTTATCAATACCTTTTATGTTATGCTTGAAACATATGAATATAACATATTTCATTCTCTTTTCTATTTGTATTTTCAGAATTGCCGGCGGAAGAAGGTAAGTGGTTTATCGACGTGTGTATCCTTTCGCTATCCAACAACGTGGTCGCTTTATATACCTAAATGCAATGTCACATGGGATCGTTATGCCATGTCAACCCGCGGTCGCGTATATTCATTTTTGACATACTTTCTTTAATCCATTGCCGTTTTCTTTGCAGGCAAACCACTGTGGGAACTTATTCTTGAACAATTCGATGATCTTTTAGTCAAGATTCTTCTATTAGCCGCTATTATATCATTTGTGAGTATATTTTCCGTTGTTTACATGCAAAATCCCAATTCCTCCCGTATGTCACGATTTATTCATATCCACAGATGTTTAGATTAGTCAGTTACACGAGTGTGTGGATTTTTTTCAGGTTACTCCTAACCTCACATGGATTAGTAATTTCTTTTTAAAGTAAAAACAAAACTGCCTGTCAATTTTCTGAGTAAGGTAACCAAATGTGAGTTAACCCCCTTGATCTATAGACCATTTAGTACTGATTACGTCAAGGTTTATTTAAGATTTCCATGACATCACTTTATACATTGGTATTGTGAGTCTCATAAAAAACATAGGAAAAGTACTTTATGTACATTAACTTGCTCCAGAAGATATTTGAAGTTGCCAATATAATTAAAGACACAGTATATGGTACCAGAGTCCATATGGTCTCTAATGGAAGGTTGTGGCTTCAGACAGCCTATGAACAGAAAACGAACTGTATTTGGGTTGACTTAAGTGTTTGTAAGACTCTTTCTGTGGCATATACTGTGCATCATGTTTTATGACCTACAAGTTCATACGGAGATTATATTTGCAATACATTTTTAATAAGCCTGCCTGTGATTTTCTCATAAAAATTTATACTTGCCTCAATTATGCATAATGATTACAGTGATTTTTAGACATTTTCAAACCTACATGTTCATAACTGGAAAATCAGTTACTATTATTCTGTGAAGTTGGTCTTTTGCTTATGATTGCCAGAAGTGCATCATATCCATGTTTAACCAATATGACCACATTAGAACTGTCTGTGCCTCTCGGTACTGGAGTGAGGGTTCTCAAGGTGTTCAACTGCTTCTCAGCAACAGAGTGCCATGTTACATTTTGTCTGTAGTCTGTCCCTTAACCGTGTTAATTCCCTTTTTTCCTTGCCCTTTGTATGAAGCAAAAACCCTGAATAAAACAAGTTTAATTTTCCCATGTTATGATTTTGCTGGAATATTGCTTAAAGAGGAGTAAGTCCTTGTTTGCTTACAAAAGAATTGTATTAATATTTCTCATTTGTCTGTTATGATGAATATACAGAAGCTGTTATGTGTGTAGTAGTGTGGGATTAGTGTCAGGAAGGTCCTGTGTAGGATGTATTTATGAAGGGTTATCACCTACGCCGGCAGAGGCCCAGATAAGCTGCGTATCCGGGTAAAATGCGCATAGAAAATTTCCAATTACACATTGAAAAATAATTGTTGCGTACCAATTACGCATTTAAAATGTTAGATACGCAAAAAGTTTAAAACAAATGCGTACGGAATATATTTATAAAAATCGCTTGCGTAATGAAAAAGACATCGATTGCTATCAAGTTGTACTGTTAGTATAGGACAAGTGTTGTACTGTCAGTATAGGATGAGTGATTTTTTATGAAATCATTTCCATTATATTTAAGTTGGTTTTGATTAGGTATGACATAAGGCAGAACATACCTGCTTAGTAAACTTACATAATGACATAATACTTAGGTGAGTAAAATGACTGAAATACGCACATTTGAAAGCAGTGGGTAGCGGAAAATGAAATACCCACTCAACATTCATAATACCCACTCCAAAAAATACAGTGGGTACAGTACCCACATGAGCTAAATCTTATCTGGAGCTCTGCGTCCGTATGGTGTGGTTTTCATTAATGTTTAGCGGTAGAGCTCATGCTGTTTGTCCATGCCAGCTGGACTGGATGTGTACTTACCTTACCTGGTTCGATTGATGTTATATATTTACACTGATTACCTGTGTAATTAGACAGGGCTAATAATTACATTTGTGTTTTATGGATACACGTGATGAAGAAAGCATCTGTGGCCATTCATCTTCGTATATGGTGCTGAGATTTAGGTGCTTTATCTGTTAACCCTGTATTGTTTGTGTCAGGATAAATTGTTGAGATGTTGTGGTCACAGATTAGAATGCAAAGTACAGTATTCAATTTCTTTTAGACTTGAACAAATTAATGGATGTGCTGTGTTGTCGGATAGTTATTTCATTTTTACCATTGGACTGATGATGAAAAAACAAAACTTCAGACATGGTCACTAGTTATTAATCTGCCTTCTCCTGTTATGTTAAAGGTGATATGATTACAGTAACTGGACATATTGGTTCATTTTGCCCTACTTGTTTGGCTTATCACCTGTACATGGTAAAACACCTGTACTTACAGGTAAACCTGCTATTCACTGGTATGTCACCTGAACATACAGGTAGAACACCTATTCCCTGGCAGAATGCCTATTTACTGTTATATCTGCTTTTCTTATAGGTAGAACATGTAAACACTGGTTGAACATCTGATCACTTGTAGATGTCTTTACTTACAGGTAGACATATGATATACACTGGTAGAGCGTATGTATATTGGTATATAGACCTGTACTTAATGGTAGAAGATATATTCACTGTAAGAACTCTTATGTACTGGTAGAGATCACTTATGTACAGGTAGATCACCTCTGCAAATGAAGATCATCTGTAGGTACAAGTAGATTATTTCCATATGGGTAGAACATAGATTTTCACTTGTAGGTAATTGAAACCCAAGTTGTAGGTGCCATGCTTTGCTTGGTTCAAGTTTTCTGACATATTTTATGGCAGTCTGACCCTGATTATATTATTGACCTTCTGATCAAACAGATGAAAGTGTGTACAGGTGTTGTCTGGGCACCAGATGAATGCCTTCAAAAACATAACAGATCGAGTGTCAGTAGCGTTTTCCTCAAGTTAATGTCGAGGTGATTATCTCAGTGTACTTTTCATTGTCTACACGATTCCTTTGTCCTGGTGTATTACTGTAATTTTGGCATGCTCATTATAGTCATTATATTGATATGTAAATGCCTTGGCCTGGACTTGTCATAGGTTGACATCAGCTGTGTGGTTATGAATATGAGATGCAAATTTGAAATAGTTTGTGATTTGGTATAATATCATTACTAATAGTAAATGTATTTGTACAAAGAAAATAACATGAGTTAATATTCATTTGTAAAAAGGAAAAATATGTAGATGTTTTTATGGTTGAGTGAATTATGGTTTTAATCCTCGGTAACTTGACTGAGCAATCTTTTTACTGCACTGACAACATCTGCAGGTATACTAATCAATACCCGCACGTATCTGATAAAACAAACCATAAACTTAGTGAACACATCTGTTGCATGGATGATTTCTGGATATCGACTTTGTAGGAACCTAATGGCTTTAGGAAGCTCTTGGACTCAATGAATTCTTCCCATTTTGATAAATAATCTTTTGTTATTAGGAATTGTAGGGAAAATCCATTAACATCTGGGAAATGTTCTAGAATATGAACATATCTGGATCTGTTTGCAACACATTACACATGGTTCTGTTCTTGATGTAACATTGGTAGTTCATCGCACACAGGAACACTCCATTCTAGAAAACTGAACATTACTGAAGCCAGTTGTCTTCTCATAGTCCCTTATGCTTCATACAATGTGATTATTTGAAGGTATGAGAGTCATCAGTTTGTTTCTGGTGCAATGGTCACAGCAAGCTGTTAGACAGTTTGATTCATCTGGAAATTAATTTTGTGCATCTGGTAACTGATTTGATGAAATGAGGTTTAAGTTTGTTTTACTTTTCTGATTCATAGCATAATATTTACCTAGCGACTTGAAGTAGAGTTTTTGGAGTTAATTGCCAAATTATTGTGAAAATAAGTGAAATTTACTTATGTACATTTCTGAATCAATTGAGGCAGATTCAATATCTCATGAGCATTGATGTTTTATGTTTGATGGCAAAAGTGATGAATTTACAATATTGTTGAAAAATATTTGTTTTGGGAACATGTGAGGGTATGTAATTACAATTTCATACCTGTTTGGAAAAATTGAAAAGGAAGATAATGATTCTGCTGATTGTGCAGCTTGTGTGATTGTCAACCATGTAAGGTGTGGGTCAGTGGACTGAAGATGTTCATCAATGTTGCCATTCATGTGTGGCTGAACAAATACGCCAGCTGGACTTGTCGTGGCACGTGTTCATTCCACAGGTGACATCTGTCTTGTGGGTGGAGTGCTAATTTGATTCAAGCTGTGTCAGCCTTTTAGAATCATTTTTCTCTAAATCTGTATTCTATGAATGACGATAGTGTGTATAAATTAGAATTGGTATGGAAATGGATTTTTGTTTGGTGTGACATTATTGATTTTCTCACCTCTGTAGCTCACTGCACAGCATTTAAACTACACTGTACTTCCTCATTCTATTTATAGTGAGATCAAAATAGTGGTGAGCACCTAAAAGAGCTGCTTTTTCTTTTTTAGGCAATCTGTAGAATTCCAGGAATTAGTTGTCAATGTAGAATATATAAACGGAAGACTTTTGTTTGTAGTACAATGTTAGAAATTAAAGGCTATTTAAACCCAGCTTACTTTTACTGTTTGAATTTAGGGATCTCCTGATAGTTTGATTTCTATCATGGCAGCTTTTCAAACATTGAAAGCTAAAATCTGCTGGTGTTTTGGAATTACTACTTTGACTTCAGAAGTGTACAAGATTGATATTGGAAACGCCCATTGTTAAGTGACACTGTCAAATGCGTATTTATTAGATGAGGAAAAGTAGACCTAGTTACATGTATCTACTTATATACAGGATCTCACCGATGTTTAATGTTGAAGTGTTAATTGTAGATAGCTATTAGTAGATGATTCCATTTAGACCAACTGTAATTGTAGTTCATCAACATAAACAGGACTTGACTTTGTGCTGCTGCTGAACACATTTCAATGTTTATAAGAGACAGTAGACTCAGACGAGTGTGAATTTGTAAAGACCATTGTGTTTTTCCCAAATGTAGTTATTTTATATAAGACCACGAAAATGGTGTGAATGAATTTGACGAGCTTGGTCGTTCATGACGTGGTCTACTGTCTTTGTCCCGTCTTCGTTAAAGCAAAGTTGTCCAGTAAGAGTTTATTTTTGAGGTCATAAAACGATCTTGCT